CTCAGTCTTCTGATCAGTGGTTTCTCACTGAAAGTTAACCTTCCATCTCTTTGTGGCTGTTTCTTGAATGTCAGATCATCTATATGTTAACTGTATCCGCCTACGCAAAGTCTTTGTTCTTATTTTTCTCCCGACCAATCTTTGGACATAAACATTGGCGTAAATTAATGTCTACCAATTTGGCTAGCAACCTGCTCTCACCACAGTTTTATCCGAGCAGAATTTTCAGTCTGTGTTGGCATCATATTAATCCCAAGAAATCGTCGGAGCGTTTGCAAAATCAGCTTACATGTCAACAGAAACCGAATATTTCAGTCCAAGAAAACCAGAACATCGAGGAATGGAGAATAAAAATCATTTCTATAGATGAAGTCACCTACAGTATGCTTGTATGTATGAGATGAACAGTATGTGGGTGTTAGTTCGTAGGGATTTCATCGATTTCAAGCTTGATAATAGTTTGACATCACCTAGAGATCCAGTGAAAACCAGGGAGTATTTGGAAGCTGTTTCATCCTAGTGTGAGACTTCTTAAAATTATGCTCCCATTTCCCCACCGGGGATGGAACTCAAAATTCAGGATACACACCGATGACGTTAGCTGATGGTGGTGCTAAAAATCTAAAAAATGAAAGAAGTTAGAATTCCCAGGACAGTGGATTCTCTCCCGATGACTTAATGGTTAGTAAGCTCGCCTTGTAACCCAAAGTCACGAACGCATACTGCTGAAGACTCACGAACTCACATAAAGTATTTATCTAGTACCCCTTGATATCAGTCTATGACCAAGCTTTAAACCAATATATGAGTAATGTAGTTGAATCTCAATGCATTTTCACAGGTGATTAACAGATTTTGTTCAACAGCTATTGAGTCTAGACAGATGCAGGGGTTATCCTCCTCAAGCTATCACGTGCCCTTTACTGATTAGTAGTAATAAGCACCAGGCTAAAATTTTACAGGTGGCTCGGTTTTAACATTTAACACCAACACAGAGGGTGCATTGGTTAGTATAGGACTGTTATATCTTATCACAGGTCTTGGTGATCATATCCTAAACATGGATGACAGGCAATCATTAACAGATTTAAAACTAAGTGGCCATCTAGACTGCCATCAAGCACTTGATTAATATATGGTATTTAATAAAGCAGCTCACCTCAGAGAGTTGAATAAGTTCAAACCACTTAAATTCCAACTAGCCCAAGGAAACACATGGGAAAATCTCACCCTTAAAGGTGTCATTTGAGAATGACAAATTCGATTCGAGATATTTGCTTAATAAGATGGACTACTACATTTTCTGGAAATACGTCGGGAGAAAGGATCATTGCTATCACTTACCCAAATTTGAATATAAAAATAATACGTCAGCTTTCTCTTCTCCTGAAATGATTACAGAATGATAATAGTAAGGCAAAACTTAATGAGTGCGTTTAGGGAAAGAAAAGGATTTTCCTCATTTTAAGACTAGTTACTATTATTATGATATGTGCCCCATATTATAAAATTATTTCATTAAGTTCCATTTAATACCATTTTTGCTTGTACTTTGACGAACTCCATGCAATTCGTTTTCTTCAATGTCGTAAGATATCATGTCTAAAACTGATTGCATTTGGGAGTAAGTTGGCGATTTATAAAAACTACTGAACCTTATATATGTATCCATTCTGTTACGTTCCAGGTGGAACATTGGGTTGCAAGCTTGAGCTTTGAAGTTTCATCAACAGAGGGGGCGCTAAACTCACTTTCCCTTTTTCCGGGTTTATACCAGGTAGGTGTGGTTAGACAGTACGCCGGCCAGGAATCGAACACTTACCACGAACTTGACTGGCGAGTACATCTATATATCCTCTTCAGTTTCAACTCAGTTATTTAGATCAAACATTCCACCAGTAGGCTATGATCCACGAATATCTTAGTCAGAGTTGAAGATACTACTCAGTTAAGCAGACTGAAGCAATCCGGGAAGGACTCGGACCAGGGATCCATTTACTGTAAATCAAGTGCCACAAAAGCCACATTTCTACTTCAATGGTGTGGAGAGAAACGTCACGACTAATGAACAACTACCAATGTCGTGTTTTCCGATGCTCTAAGGTGACTTGTCAAATGTTATTCATTATAATAAAGGTTTTTGTATTCCCCAAAGAATGAAAAACGCAACGATATTGTTGTTACTGACGTTTCGCTATTTAATGCTGATAGGTTTATCAAAGTTTTATTCACTTGTTTCAACAGTTTGTGAACAGGTCTTCCATGCAAATAACAAAGTCACAGGTAGAAGAAGATGAGATCATGGGAAAATAAGAAGGTAAGAAGGGAATTGAACGTCCCATTTGTTTCACAAAAAAGTAATTCGTTGTTTTTTGATTGGAGGATTTCATCATAAGCTGACATCAGTTAGAGAACCATTGGAAAACCGACCAGGGAGTACTGGACAGCTGTTTCGTCACACTAGTTTGAGACTCTTCATCAGTACGCATCCACCACCAGGCTTTGAACCAGGTGGTCTATAAATTCTAACTCCTACCACTTCACGATGTCTTCTTTGATGAGTTACTGCCTCAACTTCAATCTGCTGTACCCTGCTGGTCACGCCTTCCCACTAGAACCCTAGGTTAACTGCCTGAATATGGCCAGTCGCTAGTGAGCATCAGGTTTTCCAATGGTTCTTTAACTGATGTCAGCTAATGATGAAATCCTCAAACCAAACAAACAAAATGCTCACAGAAACCAATACTTGAAAATTAATTCGATTTTGTTGACAAAAGTGTATAAAACATGCTAGAATTTTATTGCAGCTGATATTCGAAATAATATAGACAAAATAGGATCTAAACATGCGAATATTTATTTGATCAACAGGTTAATTACTAAAATAAAAAATAATTATTAAATTACCACTTAACTCTTGACGGTACAAACTATTGATAAAATTGAAAACAAAATGAAGAGAGAGTAGCCTTTTTGCCTCATTATTTAATAGGTGTAGAAAGGGAAGCACGGAGAAACAATCTGTAAGGAAACAGTAATAACCATAACATTCTGCATATGTTTCCAAACCACGTTCACTTTTAACAGTTGGCGGTTGATGCATACTGATTAAGAGTCTCAAAATAGTGTGACGAAACAGCTATCCAGTACTCCCTGGTCGGTTTTCCAATGGTTCTCTAACTGATGTCAGCTTATGATGAAATCCTCCAATCAAAAAACAACGAATTACTTTTTTGTGAAACAAATGGGACGTTCAATTCCCTTCTTACCTTCTTATTTTCCCCATGATCTCATCTTCTTCTACCTGTGACTTTGTTATTTGCATGGAAGACCTGTTCATGAAAATATGTGCGCAACGTGTAAAGAAGAATGAAAGCCATGTCACCAGTTAACTTTTCTGATATCATCACTACTATTAATCCCTTGGGTTCTGATTGGAGCAAAGGACTTCAGCAACACGTCAGTATTTTATTCTATTCTCTGCTGTCTTTTTCAGCCGGCTTCACGATAGCCCATAAACTTTCGTTTACCCTTCACATGATCTCGCCCATGTCATCCTCCTATCAAAAGTCAGACTTATCGTTTCCCATTCTGGTCCCGCTCCAGGATCTTCACGACACTTGCTAGATGGAACTTTAGATGCTAGTGTTTATAAGATATTATCACGTTCTACTAACTACTCGGACTTTGAACCATTCCGTCCAGAATCAGTAGTGGTGGATTTAGTTAAATGTTTATACAATCGAGTTAGGGGTCTTACAGGTGAGTTAGAAAATTTGAATGAAGAAATCAATGAAATACTACTGAATTCATTCAGAAGTCTACTAAAGCCAGTAGGAAAAATAAAAGTAGTGATATGAATTGTAGAAATAATATATATGTGACAAAGAATTCATAGCTTCTGTAATACCACAGGGAAAGGGAGGAACACCAGAGGTCCTATGTATGATTCTCAATGGGGCTGGAATTAAGATGGTATTTAAACCACCTAATTCACTCGGAGATAAATTCTATCACATTAAGAATCCAACAAGCTTATTTAGACAAAATGATACAATTTACCAAATACTATGTGTAGTTAGAAGGAATTTAGTTACATCAAGAATGATTAACCCTGACAAGTTATGTAATGCAGAAAAATTCTCAGTCACTCCAGTGTATTCATTTTTGTGCAATCAAGCAATAGGGTAGGATAGGGGATAATTATTCAAAAGTGACGTAGGCGACTCGGGTTTGAATCTCAGAAGGGATATGAGTCCTTTCGAGATTGGAGACAGGCCTTGCTGATGAGTACTAGCAAGCGCGAAACCTGCATCCAACGCTTCCTGACGACCGCCTCTAACCATTTAGAAACAACAATTCATAATGCATCGTAATGGCGAGCCAACTAACATGATGTCCACACTGCAGACTTGACTGAAGGAATTCATTGTGTACCAAACGAAGGAGTAGACATAGGATATTAGCTACTACTTGGTGTTCAATCAAATTATAAAACAGGTAATATACTTAGTCTTAGTCAATCGTACAGACACCAAACAACTACCATAGGAATGAAGCGATATCCCTCCCGGATATATCGAAAATTCAGTTGAAAAAACAGGAATGAGCAAGGTTGAATGAAGCAAGTTAGAAAGCCATGTGAATACAATGATATGACTATGAGCAATAAATTGTGTTAGAAACGTCATCCAGTCATTAATACTCTACTACTGTGGATCATAACAGACAAACTCATCTGATATCGAAACTTTAGGTCTGCCTTAAGGCGGCGTAATTTCATTCCACCATAAAAGTTTGATTAGATATCTGATCAATAATGTATAACACAACTATACTACTTACTACTAACAGTAGTTGAGTTTATTTTCGTGAATTATTTTGATTATACTCAAGCTGATCAGTTTTAAAAAATAAACCTCCCAGATTGGTTACTTTTATTTAACATTGAAGAAAACGAAGTGGGTCACGCTTTCCTATTGGTTGGCGGATAATTATGAGCTGTTCAGGAGTTGATAACTTCTGATTTTATAGTTTTCATTTAATTTTTACCTCTAAATGAATTATTCTCAGTTAGATTTTCTTATTATTTTCAAGCATTTGAACAATTTGAACTATTCAGTGTAATCAGAAATGATAACTGTGAATAATGCATCATTTCATGGCGATATTAATCTCGCAAGTCTGACATAACTTTAACAAAATAAAGAGTTATAAAATATTCTCAAATTAACGCTTGTCATACGATAAAACAGTATAAGCTAAACAGGAATTAATAAAAAATAATTAATTCAATGGATTCATTATATTTATTAAAAAGAAAATTTATCCAGTCGAATAAAATATATCTTTGGTGGATTATACTACTTATACTGTGTAAAGTTACTACTTTAATTTATATTGAAAGTAGTGCATTTCAAACCCATTCAGTTTATTGGGATCCAGATAATATCATGTAAGTTTATTAAAAATATTTTCGCTTTCATTACTATTATGTAAATCTGATTAAAAATGCCCATTGAAATTTTCAAAAGAATGGATACTAAACAAAGAGTACTCTTTTCGATAACCTCTTCATCATCAGGCTCTACATTTATAAATACATTATAGTGAATGAATGAATTAGTGTTATGAACGACATTAATGCTGTTTAAATAACATCGAGTCAATAATATTGATAGATTACAGCTGAATCGCATCAACATAAAATAAGCTGAATGTCAGAAGAATTAGGAAGGATAATATTACGAATTCATGAGTTTATAGTTTCTACTGAAAGCCAGGGCAATAGTAGGGGCTGGACTTGCTTCTTTTGGACACAGAGTGCTGGTTGCTTGAGGCGAATTGCAATAGCCTCTGCTGTTTGGAGCATGCGGTGCTTCGATGATTTTGGCAATTTATTAGGCACCCGGTATATTACAGAGAAGGATTCTTCTACGCTGGCTTTGTGGCGTTTGAAAAAAAATTAGGCATTGGTTATATGATATTCATTATAATAAAGGTTTTCTTGTATTTCCCAATGGATGGAAAACAAAACGACATTGTTTTTACTGATGTTTCGCTGTTTAATGATAGCAGCTTTATCAAATTAGTATTATTAAACCAGAATTTACAAAATCTCAGCACATATATATAGAAAGCAATTATTATACGTTTAAAGGGAGTTTATATAGACAGATAAATTGTGTTGCCATGGGTTCACCAGTCTCCCAAATAGTCGTTGATCTTTCCATGAATAGATTCAAAGAAAGCGTCCTTTCAATCATACTCACTCCTAAAATATGTTTAAGATATGTAGATGATACTTTTGTAGTGCTAAAAGGAGATATACACAGTTCATTCCTGGAGAAAATAAACTATGCATCTCCCAGAATCCACTTTACTTTGGAAGCAGAATCAGACGTCAGTGAACTACCATTTCTAGACTGCCTAGTTAAGTGGAGGGAAAACGGACATTTTAGGATATCCATATTCGGGAAGAAAACCCACTCCAATAAATACTTAGACTTCGGGTAATCGCGCCCCATCAGGGTAAAAGTATCAGCTGTTTCAAGTCTTATTAAATGAGCACACTCTCTGATCACGGATGAGAAAGAAAAAGAAGAAGAAATATCGAACATTACTGAGACCCTTGAGCAAAACAACTACCCAAAGAACTTCGTCAACAAAATCAACACTGACATTAAGTATGGTCGAAAACATCTTCCGAAAAAGTGTACCTCAACAGTTGCCATTCTATATGGTGCAGAGACGTCTGATGGTATCAGAAGAGTACTCAGTTAGCTCGACATCCGAGTTTTCTTCAAAGCATCACACACTACTAAGCAAACTTGTCTATATAAAAGACTCACACTCTAAGCATTATCTAACTGGTTCATTTCTATAAAATAAAATGCTTGGAGTGTGGTTCAAAATACATCGGACAAACATCGCCAGTGAGAAATCAAAACCAGGAGAAATGAACACAGTAGAGCATCTGTCCGACCACCGAGAAATCCAGTTGAACTAGGAAAGCTTGAAAAATCATCAGCCATAGCTTGTCTACATGCTATAGAATTAGGCCACAAAACTGATTTTGACAATATTGAAATAATCCAGAAGAATTTCGGAAATCACAAAGAACGTCTAATATCAGAAGCACTTCAAATCAAGTGAAATCCTAATCGTCTGAATAGGAATGATGGACTAAAACAAAATTTGACCTGGTCATGACACCTCGTCCCCATGAAACGACAAAATCAATACGAATGTGATAAGCAATATCATTATATAAACACATGCTGTTTTATAATTTTACACACTTATCAAATCCAATAGTCTACACTTGGTTTTGTCATATTTACCAATTGGCCAATTAGACAATTAAAAATGACCCCACACTGATGAACGATGATCAAGTTAGTAAACTTTGTTTTGGTATCATAACAGATGTACTATTATCTTTATTATTTGGTTTAGTGATCTTCAATGTTATTTTGACTTTCAATATGTCCCTTTCACTTGACCTAAGTCTATTTTATCACCCCTTACCTCTTTGTTATATATAAGCTGAGTGGATTTTGTAAACTCTGGTTTAAAAAAATACTTTGATAAAGTTGTTAGCATTAAATAGCGAAACGTCAGTAAAACAATATCGTTTTGTTTTTCATTCATTGGGAAATACAAAAACCTTTATTATAGTGTTTATTACTATTTATAGTTATTTTTCTGGATTCTGAGTGAAACGAAAGGCTTCAACAACACGCCTCCACTTTTTCCTGTTATTATCTACACTCCACGAATGCCTAATCCTCTTCCCCCACGATCTCCTCAGTGTCACTCTGGGACGCCCAACTTGTTGTTTTCTACTCGAGCTCTACTCAAGAGCTTACCAAACAATGTTCCTCAATAGTCTTCTCAGTATGTATCCCATCCGTCTCGATTTCCTTCAGCATATTTTCTGAACAATACGTTCTTAAATCGAAATTTGTCGGAGTTCTTTGTTGCTTTTCCTTTCTGGCCAACCATCTGATCCTCAGCACGACCTTTTGGAGCAAAGTCTCTAAAGCATTTGGAAGTGACTTAACATTGGTGCTGAAAATCCAAACTTTGATCTTCAAGTTGAGTACAGCAGATTCCCAGATCGATTTCAGAATAATAAAGGTATGTCTTGCCTTTTTGATCCTGGCAGCTTTTGACATCCTTATCTGTGCAGCCTGTAGTTGAAATGGTACCCCCTAGATTAGTGAAGGAATTAACCTCTTTCGAATTTCTTCCTTTAATAATGATTGGTGCTTGTTGGCGCTGTTTCTGTTAGTGAGGTATCTTCATCACATTTGCCTTCTCTATGCTCATTTGCAATCCTGTCATCGCTTCCTCGTTCCTCTGTTTTCTCTTATACATCTTCGACTTTGTTTGACATTAGATTTAAATCATCTGTAAAGTCTAGGTCTTCAATGGTATTCCTATCGATCCAACGTATTCCCATCTTCTCGCCTCCACGGTCTACTGCATCACCCAGTGCACCACAACTAGTAACACCATCGGTGGTAGTAGACAGCCTTATCTTACATCCGTCTTCACTTTAAAGGCTTCTCTGGGTTTTCCGTTGTGAATCACTTGACATATGACACCGTCATACAGCCACTGAATGAGGTAGGATGCATCATTTCGATTTTATTGAAGAAAAACTATGGATAGTTTACTGATATATATATATATATAGCTGGTTTAATTACGATAAATCTTTGGCTGTATTGTATGCAACATAACTAATCCTGCACAATACTTTTCAAGGCTTTTATATTAACTTTAATTATTCATTACGTAAGGAGGACTGATTATGTAGTAATTGCATAGTTATATTAAAGGATTACTCAACTCACATTATATATAGCTTCTTTACAAATCTGTAACGTCAGTAGCACACTCTCAGGCACTTTGGATTGGGGATTAAGGGGGAATTTAACAACTGTTTCAGGCTTCTTACTAGCGCCCAACTCATAACTCTACACTTGGTTCATTCGAAGACAGCTGGTTGTCATAGGAGATGATTAATTGCTGTAACACTAGATGAAAATTTCCTAGTTTACACTTTCAACCATCTGGATCTTCATGGTATAGATTGTCTGTTTAACACCCTTTACTTTGTGGCCTAAAGCGTAATCTTGTATATTTCTTTTCATTTTTGCGCTATAGGTGCACACGTCCTAAGCATCGTAAGCTAAAATGCAAAAGGTTTAAAATCCATACTAGCTGTTAGTAAGAACAATAATGATGAAACCAAGAAGTCCTACACACTTGGTAATAAACAGAGTTTTGTTAATATTAAGTTTCTGAGACAAATTGAGTGGAAAAAGGTTTCAGAAGGGTATTGACAAGAAGAATCCTACTAACTGACACTTTATATCAAGGTATAATCCATCACAAATTAAATTAGTTTGAAAGTTAGACAAAACAGTGACAGCATAATAAGTCCGGTTGAAAAATTTCAGTCTACGCTTCTCACTGCCCTGTGACTGATCTGCATAACATTTGTTGGACACGAAGAAAACACTTTTCGTATACATTACGTTTTACTAAGGCATAAACGATTAATATTAAGGTAATTGTTATGAGGGATTGACAGCTGGTTGGGAGCAGGTGATCACCATTCAGCATTCGTAAGCTTATTTCGGTGTGACCAGCAGCTCTTCAGTCTATATACTCCAAAGCTACCTTTATTAACCCAATTTATGACATAGCCTGACTACCATCTAATATCGCAACAGAACATCTTACCAGATATTCAACTTTTCCGTCTTCATTGGTTATGCTATCATCCTCCGGTTCTCAGTGTGAAACGCCTGGTTTAGTTAGACTTTTAACTGTTCTGGTCAGGTCAATAATCACACCTAACAATTTGCTTTTATATATTTCATTCACACGGTAAACAAGTGAGAAATTAAACTGAAGTGTTTCTGTAACGTTCTTGGGTCGACAGTGGCTAGCAGTAGAATTCAGGCTAGGTTTCATCCAGTTTGATAGCCATCACATGGATGTACCTATATCCCAGAAGCTGATGTTGTTTCAACTGAAACAGCAATGCAGAATCCATTGTTATGAATGCCAAAAAGTTGTCCACTAGGCTAGTGAGCCCAAAAAGCCAGCTTTTGTGAAACGTGCATAAAATTCTCTGCATTGAAATTATTTTTTTAAAAATTCAGGTTGACTGATTCCAATGAAGAGAAATGTTTAGCTCTCGATATGTCGGGCTTTTTTACAGACGTTTCAACGATGCTTTGGGGTTAGTTTGACTTTGTTTCCTTGATGGTCGCTTGCAGTGAAATCTACCAAAATGAATCAATGGGGAATTCAGAGAAAACAGTACTTCCAATAAGGATTTCTGTAAAGTTTATATTTACTGAGAAATAAATCTATTATATCTGTCTCACTTAAAAATAATTTTTATAAATATTATGACTACTGTGAAAAGTA